ACACACACACATACACAGTATGACATGGGGGTGAAATGCTGGTAGCTGTACAATGCCCGACCATTAAATGACAGAAGAAAAGTTTTACAATATTTACAATTTACAATCTCATGTGCAATATCCCATCGTATGGAGGAAAGACCTAATCAACTCTATCATCAAGGCTTGTCAAACACATTGTTTGACGCAATCAGCTTGCACTTCTAGTTTGACGTGTCTTCACTACATAGAGACTCTCAGCTTTACATTAGGTTGTTTATAAATTAATAATAAAAATGATTTAAAAACAAACAAACATCATATTTGTTTAGAAATACTTCGAGACAAACGACAAACACCCAACAGGCTAGCAGTGTTGTTGTCAAACTGCGCAAGATCATTCTAAATCGCTGATTCAACGTCGATAACTTTATAACAGCACTGGGAACCAACTGTTAGCTGTTAGCTCCCTGCCTTCTCAGTCTTACACTACGAGGCTCACTCGGGGGTCTTTCTAGCACCACCAGGACAACAAGCAGAAGGAATTTACTGTACCTAGAAGCGTTACTACTGTCGTGCCTCCTGTTGTCCTCCTGTTTGTCCAGTCTTTAGTCAGCCAGCTGTCCTGTTTGGAATGACTACAAACGTCACCCAGCAGTAGAGCCAACTGTTCTTCTTCTACGACCTCAATAAAGCAGACTAGACGCTACAGCTGCGTGACACTGCCACCTACTCGTTGTTCACTACGCGTGTCACACTCGTCTTCTTCTTTGGTGGCTTATTACGGCAACCCACATGGCGGCAATTTTGCACTTAATTTCAAAACCCAGTAGCAGACGTGGGCAGATTAAATACTGACAGTATCAATACCAATGACTGATGTTGAGAATAGCACAAAAAAGGAAGCTGATGACAATGACATACAGTATAAAAAGTGGGGGTTATTTTAGTATTTATTTACTGGGTGTAAAGAGAGGTAGCTGCATGCTTGTAGCACGAGGCAGTCTCTGCAAACTTAGTCTACAATGCTAAGAAAATTCAATAGAGAGAGGAGGCATGCAACTACAGCAACATGGTGTTTCTTTAAGAAGCTTCAAAAGTGTTTTAATCAGCAGAACACAAAGACAGTATTAAGGAAAATGAAGACATATGATCGAGAAAGGCCCTACACCAGACAGAAGATTAGGGACGTGACTAGTTTCAAGAACTCCTGTTAGTGTTTGTAAGGACAGCACAGGCGTTGAACATCACATCCACAGCTGCAGGATCCAAACTGCAGAATGTGCGACGGTGATGCTGAGACCACACCTTGCAGCAATCTGTTGACAATGTAAGTACAGTGTACTGGAATAAAAGTCAGGAAGATGGTTGAGAAGAAAAGGGCTAAGGTTCAGTGGGACTTCTGAGTGAAGGTTTCATTTGGCCTTTTGAATCCCAGAGAATAAATAAGATAGCTTCCAGGTGTGCTGGCTGGAACAAGTGGCCGAAGCAACCCCCCTATCCAAACCTGAGAAGAGGTGCAGAAAAGGAAGAGAAGGAGCAACATGACACTGGTGAACTTTGCACCAGTGTCCTTTTGCTTTTGTTAAAGACTAACATAGGTGTCCTCTTTGCTTCCTTTTATTCCATAGTTCCTTCTGCTCAAGTCTTTAATATTGCTTATGACGCACATTAACATGAGACAAACGAACACTGGAGGAGAAACATATAAAACAGAAGCTTGACATTAAAAACAACTGGATAAACTCTGGGGGAATTGAACACACAAGAAATGAACTTAAAGTAGAAACTGAAGCTAAATAAACACCAAATATTTAAGACCTCTAGAATGATAAATTATATAGACTCCATGAGTAGTTAAAGTATAGAGGAACTAGAAATGAGGTAGGTGTTGTCACTTGCTGCACTCTTCCCCCCAAGGGGACACCACAGTGGACAATGCACATATTTAAACTGGAAAAGAATTTATGCAACCCTCCTATTTATCCAGTTTTGGCACCTTCACTAAGAGCGTGTCTGCTTGTGTTTCCTCCCAGGTGCAAACCAGGGCCTTTTTGTACTCGAATGTGATAACCACTCAGCTGTGGAATCACCAGATAGAAAACCAAACAATAAAACTGAAACTCAGCATACTGTAACCATGAAATCATGAACCAAAACACAGAAGTTAAAAGTCCCTAAACAGGTACCAAATTAAGAAAATGCATTTAAAGTTGCTCCTGTTCAGCTGTTGACCAGCTATAAGCACTCAGATGCCTCTCATAAAACATTTTATATCCTCTCTCTGGGACACATCTTCAGTGATATTCCTTGGATAATGCGGTGTTCCGGGTCTTTTGACATCAGACACCATGGTCCTGGTCAGCCAACCAAAGCCCTGAGTTGTGTCCTAGTGGCTTTTTCTGTGGCTTCACAGACACCTTCTGGGCGTTCCTGTAATTCCCGGTTGCTTAAGGACTTAGAGTGACCATCCTGCAAAACCTTTGCAGCCAACCCTCTATCGGCTCACTCAAACTCTTCCAGCTCTGGGTACTTTGCATATTTCTTATTGTTTGTGTCTTCCAACCTTCTTCCCAGATCACAATAAGCTCCTGCATTATCAGGGTTTTATTGCCTTGGAGGTGATGATCATGCCTGGGTGGAGTAATGTCATGACAGTGTCTTGTGGAGATTTCATCATGATCAAAACTTCTGAGTTTTTCACATGTTAGACTAGGCTATATTTGACTGTTTCCAGTCAAATAAAGATGTAAAACAGTGATCTAAATTCCACATTATGGGAATTAACAGATAACTGATGTATTCGTTTTTACAGCACTTATCTTTTATTTTTTCTTTACCTTTTTTTTTTTAATAATTTGATTTATTTGTGCATTTGAAACTGAGCTTTTGACCTTAAACCTGAACCTTTGCTGTGTCTTTGCTTCTTTCCGTTCATTGCTCAGCTGTCAGATGCATCAAATGTTGTTTTCAGCTGTAATTTCAAAGGCATGAAGACAATAAATCACCTGAGGCCATGCGCACTCATCTCAGCATGAGGAATCTTTCAGTTTGACAAAAGCCATCAGGCTCCTCGAACAACAGAAAACTCTAAATGTGCCACTCTTGTTGAGTTTGCCTTTGATTTACAAACTCAAATATATTGTATTGTAAACTTAAACTTATAAGTAGTAAATTATTTATTTATTTATTTATTTATTTATTTATTTATTTATTTATTTATTTATTTATTTATTTATAATAAATAAATAAATTCTTTAATAATTTATTTAATTTATTTATAATTTAAAGTTTGATGTAATATGGATGATGCAGTTTAACCTTGTTCTAATGCAGACATCCGTTCATTTTCAGAGGTGCAGGGGAGGCTAGAGCCTATCCCAGCTGTCACAGGGCAAAAAGTGGTTCACAGCCTGAACAGGTGGCCAGTGCATTGCCAACCTAGCACAAAGAGACAATCATTCCCACCAATAGAGAGTCACATATTAATCTAACTCTATTTCCTTGGACTGCAAGGAATCAGGAGAACCCAGAGAGAACCCATGCATGCTCCACAGCCAACCAGTGGATCTGAAAGACCTTCTCACTGTGAGGTGACAGTGCTAACCTCTGCATCGCCATCTTAACATAGGCTGTGACATCCAGTATGTACAAGTATTAGTTTACATACGGCAGATGCAAAACTATAACTTAAATTAAATTCCCCCAAATCATTTTGCTGCTCTGAGTTGCCTTTAGTCAGGGTTCACTGTGAAAGATGTGCTGCCTGTGATCAATTTCATTTCCCCTGCTTGTGTTCCTCATAGATGACAAGTTGTTTTTTTTTTTTCTTTATCATAAAAACAGGAATGAAATCTTTATTACACAAACCTGAAACTACAAAGTATTATTGACTCAGGTAAGTGCTGCTCTGCAGAAACGGGTCCAGGTTTTCAGAGCGAGAGAAAGACATAAAAAAAAATCGAGTGGTGGAGAGCCAGCAGGCAGGTGAATCAAACTGTTCTCCTTCAAGCAGAAGGAAGACTGCTTTAAAAAAAATATTGGAAAAATGTGTGTCCATTAGAATGATTAATGTCCTTTTTTCTCCCCAAAATAACTTCTAGCGATTGCCAACAATGCATATTTAATTTTTTCTAATGATAATTTCCAACATTTTGGCATGTTGCATTTTATAACGCATGCATACAGAAGGGAGCAGCATTGTATTATAATTTATATCCAGCACTTACAATGTCACTTCCTAACATGAGCTGCACCTCATATTCACACAGAAATGGGAGAAAACTGAGTTCAAATACTTTGGAAGAACTTAAATTTGAAGAACCCGCAGTTTTGAAACATCTATATTTTCATTATCGGTCTAGATATAGACCGGTAATGAAAAGTATGTTCTTTTGTACACACAAAAATATTCAGATCACAGTAAGATAGTCTGTTAAAGAAGAATTTTATGTGATAAGATACACTTCATTTGTCCCAGATTTGATACATATCATTTGCTACAGTACAAAAAACCCCCAAACCAAATTGCTTAAATAAATTAATAATAATAATAACAACAATAATAATAATAATAATAATAATAATAATAATAATAATAATAATAATAATAATAATAATAATGCATACATTTTAAAGTTTATACTTCACAATAAGCTGGACTTAGTTTTCTTTATAAGTGACTTTTATTTTGAAAGGGTAGCAGTGTACATTGAAGCCTACAGAGATTAGAAATACTCATTTGGAAATTAAAACTGAAACAGCTGGTCTGATGTCTGTACAGGGATGACAAAAACAATGACACATGTATAAATTGTATTATGGTTTATAAGTCAAGTATTTTGTATATTGTATAAGTATTATTTATAAGTATTGACCTCAGTCACAACTGATGTCCTCACAAAGTGACTCAGAAACCTTCAGTGACACACTTCCACCAGCCCAGTGATCTCAGACATGAGCAATGACACGTTCAGGCGGCCCATCACGTAGAAAGGGTGCCATCACGGCGTCTCTGGACAGCCTCTGATTATTGTCGGAGAGTAAACATTTGTTTGGCTGCTCTGTACAAGCGCAGATAGGCTTCAGATGAATTGACAGGGTCCCCTAAATTGTGTCTATGACGCCTGATCCATCGCGTCAAGACCATTAAGAAGGAGGCTGGGTGAGATGATAGTGTATCGATCAGGTCGTGATGGATGGGCCCTGAGAATATATAAGTGAAGTTCTCGGTCGAGTAAAGGGAGATGAGTTCAGATCTGGTCATCAACACAGAGACACCATGCTTTCTGCAGCTCTGTTTTACCTTGTAGCTGTGATTTGTTCAGCAACATGGACACACGCTCTCCCCCTTTACCCTGAGTCCAACCTGGAGCCACAGACAGGTAAGACACTTTTAAAACTGTTTTCTTCTTTTCAGGTTATATTTCTCCTACTGATTTCTTCGTGCCATTTTCAAATCTCTTGACCTGATCTTTTGTCACCCAACACTTGGACAGTCACATTGTAACTTATCAATGAGATGTGTGATAAAAAAAAAAAAAAACGGAAAAATGAATGAGAAATATGTTTCATCTGAACAGATTTCATTCAGAAACTAGTTTCAGAAGTGGAGGACGGCACCAATGCTGCAGAAGGCGAACAGAGAGATGTGAATAATATTTATCCCCTACTGGTGCATCACAATGGAGGGAGGGACTCATGGAATAAAGGTTAGAAAAAAAACATAAATTTGCATGTAAACAGGAAAAAAATCATCAAATTTTGTGGCGAAAGCAGACTAAATTTTATAACTCGTTTCAGGGGTGAAAGATTCAGCACAACAGGATAAGTTTGCAAACATGGTGAGTTTGATCATCTGCATATTTGTACACTAATAAGACATAGACAGAGAAGTCTTTCACAAAAACAAGTGAAAGATGCAGAAATGTTGAAACAATGAGAAGCTCAAAGTATCATAAAATAAAAAGAGTATTCTGAATGTGTGGGTAAAGGCGAGTTTATGCCAGTGAAAACAGTGTCCCTGTGAACGCAGGGTCTGCATCTAATTCATCATTTTGCTTATTTTTAGGTCGAGGAGCTGAAAGAAGTTGTACTGAAATTGGCTGCCGCTGAGAAGCTTCGGTCACAGGGTTTCCTCAGATCAGAGCAGAGCCTCCCGAAAACGAACAAAAGAGGTGCGTGACTCACATGCCACACCTGCTCGGCCACCGAAACGCAACGATCGAGTGAAAAAGGATGTTTAATTTCTGGGATGGAGTTTTTAACACAAGCTAAGATAAATGATTTACACTGTAAACAATGACAGATGTATAAGCTTTAAGCATTTAACACCTGCTTTATAACACATGTAGCATAGCTTTTGCATGATATAAAGACATTTTTTATTAAGGTGAAACAGTACAGGTAGAAAGGTTAAAACATTTCACTAATAGATATTGCCATGAAACTCCTCCAGAGGATTACACGCATTAGGAATGTTAATATTATTTCTACAGCTACTACTATGGTGTTTAATAGAAGGCAAAGGCAAAAAGATAAAGCTATAAATCTCCAAAACTTTATGTCTTCCTTCATATTTGCTAAAGCCGTTCAGTGGGTTGATTGTTACCAGGCTGATTTTATATTTGACTATATCTAGACTTTCCACTAATCTAGATGATTTGTTCAACCTCAGCTGACTGCAGGTTTCACCAGCCTTATAGACAGTACACTATGGTCATAAAAGACCGTAGCGTCTCCTGCTTCTATGATGATTCTTACTTTCTCAGTGTGTCAGTCAGTGTTTGAAATTCTCTGTGAAAAGTGCTCGTGATCATTAATCAGTTTAAGCCACAACAGTTTGCAAATCATCAATGAGAAAATGAATGTAAAGCTGCTGATTTTGCTTATTTTACAACTTTACTGTTTATAAAGTGAGTGAAACCAGCAGTCAGCTGAGACTGAAGATGTGGGTTGTATGAGTTGAATTTGCAATGAAAATTCTGCTGCCAGGTAAACAAATGATCTTTCTAACATACGCAAGTTATACTTTCTCTATCTACATTTGGACTCACTTGCATAATTTCTTCAGAACCAAAATCCAAATATTGGATAAAGCGATAAAGTGATTCTGGAAATCCCATGTTATAAAATAATCAATAAGTAAGACCCAGAATGATATCTGAACATCCCCTGTATTTAAGCATTCAGGATATGTGCATGGCAATTAAAATGGAGAGTTTTGTCGTGATGAGTGCTGCTGAAGGGAAGATTTCTGCCTGAAACAGTGAAAAAGAAATCTCATCTTGACATTGACTTGAATTGGCTTTATTGTAAACATCCATACATATTCACTAAAAACCACCAGGAAAAAAACATCTAAAAGATATCACAGTGAACCTTCTAAAGCCAAATACCAACATACAGCTTTCTGAAATGTTATATTTAAATATGCACTAACTATGATGCTACATAGTTTAAATACAGTGCACCAGTAGATAACATGCACATTTCAAACTTTAACATTATCAGATTTTTTGTTTGCATGCTATCTCTTCGCTGCTGTATCACTGGAAATGTCCCTGATGTGAAATATCATCTTAACTTATTACTGAAATAGTAACTGAGTAAAACAACAAACAAATAAAGGTCCGCTTGCATTAAACAAAACAGTGTTCAGTATTTGTATTGTATCTGTAACCTCCCTGTGAATATTTAAGATAATATTTTATCCTGTAAACATGTGCACTACACTACAGAGGAGTAAGTAGAGTATATATAAGATATTAATGCAATTACAAAGCTCAGATATGTTCAGTTAGTTTAGAAAAACAAGAAAAACACCTTGAAGGGAAAAAACTGACAAATAAAAGATGCGAGTAACATCTTTTTTTCTCTCTTTGATGTCCCCGACAGCATGTTTCTGGAAATACTGTGTGACCAACTAGAGCTCAGAGACAGCAAGTACGATGTGGTTTCAGCACGGCCTGGTTTGAAGCGCTCTCCCTCTTCATCACCAGTTTTGTTTCCCACCACGTGGTATATTCATCGCCTGCACCGGATCAACAGAAGATATATTTTTGAAGCTGTAAAAGGTTTTTTTTGTGGCTGAAAATAAACTTGAATATCAGAAATGCCGATTCGCGTTCCCTGGTTTTACCCGTGAAAGTTCAAATGAATGACAGAAACCAGATTATGACAAAGAAATGTGGTATTTATTTTCATTAGTGTGACAGTGTGTGACAATTCATTGAAACTGTATTTGTACACAGTAAGATATACAGGAGTGTTTTATATAAAAATGAACTGTTTACGCAGCCATTGCTCACACTAACACAATCATACATATTTCTATGTGGCTGTTTTGATTGTAAAATGCAAAAAATATTGATATTTACACTATAAACAAAACTCTACTAAATATAAATCAACAATCAATTGCACATATGGCCTTTTTTTGTCTGTGAGTGACCTGGATAAACAGTAAATGCCAAAACATTTGACTTTGGCATGTCTTGGAGCTAAAGCTATATGAGCTTGAGGATTTTAGGGTGTCTGGTTCACTGCCACAGTTTATTTTTGAAGTTTGCAGTGCCCTCTACAGATCACCATCTCTACACACATGGTTACAATTGATTAAAAAAAAAAAAAAACACAGAACAAAGGAGTGAGATGTTTATTTCCTCTTGTTGGCCACGCTCAGGTAAGCCTTCTCAATTTCAATGTCGGCCGGGCACGTCTGTTTGAACTCGTCTCTCTCGTCAGCGTTTTTAAGGTATCTCCACACGCCTGTGAAATGGGCTGGAATCTCAAAGTTGCAGTACTTTTTGGCAGAAACCTAAAATAAATAAGTGGAGAGGAAAGTGTTTTAGGAAGTCCAGGGATCGGTTAAAACAAGCACTTATCTCATTCAAAGTTTAGTAGTTCGCATCATAGGTTCAGGCCTTCTTCAAGATAAAAGAAGACAAATTTCAAGACTGTTTAGTGATGTATGAAAGTAAACCTAACACATGGGTCATGTACTATTCCTTTAGGTTACTAAGACAAAATATTAACCAGGATGCTTTTAAACAGTGTTACAGGCACATAAATGCTAAAAGCAGGTCACTTTAGCCAGTTGCTAGGTGGTTGCTAGGCAATATAATCATAGCATAATATTTGACATAGGCGAAAACCTTCAGTAGTTCAGAAGCAGAAGTGTGCCAAGTCTGGTTGCACAACTGATGGTCTGGGAGAAGTTTGCAGTCAAACACACTCATGAACAGAGATTTAGCATTTATTAGTGAGAAGATCAGGAAAACTATTGAGTTTCCATCTGAGGTAGTTTATTTTACTGTATTTTGCAGTTTAAATTATAATAATCAGGATTAAATAAGGATAATAAAGTGTCCAGCTATCTGTTCACACAGGGATTCTTCTGATCCACTTTAGATGATCAGATGATTTTTTCCTTCCTTCCACCTCTGTTTCCTTTCAGCCATTAGTGCACAGATGTCTCACCCTGATAACGTGCAGTTTGGGCAGCAGGTTGCAGTCAGCTAAGGTGAGTCGGTCGCCGTCCAGGAACTTCCTGTTGGAGACGGCGATGGTTTCCACTGAATTGTGGTCGATCTCCTCGGGGAGGGGACTGTTCAGGTAGTCATCCAGACGCTTGAACTCCCGCAGCAGGTTTTTCTCTTGTACTGTCAGAAACACAGAGACAGGTTTCATGGTGTGTTTTAAGCACTGCTGGTCAGACACGAGAGCTGCGTTTAAAAGCAGTTACCAGGCACCTGTACTTTATGTGAGAGCTTCAATTTTATGCAGTTTTATGCATTTGAGGGAAATATTGTCCTTGGTACCAGTGACACCACTACTGTAATTTATGTAGTTCCAACCTACTTTGCATTAAACTTCTATCTAACGTGCAAAAACTCGATTAGCATGTCTCATATTTTAGCACATTTGGGGTGAATCTTGCTGATGCTGAGATGCACAATCTTTATACATGATGACAACGTCAGGTCAATGTGGTTAATCCTTCACAGCAGCAAATAAAAAAGGGGGCTGAATATTTTAGCACATATAATAGTTTATGTAAAACAAAATATATTTCAACAGGTTTTTGAACATGTTTTGAAGTTTGTAAAGGAATTTAATTGTCCAGAGGTTTGATCCAAATAGAGGTTTTAGGATTTTTCTCTTTATGAAAGCTTCATCTTGGTGTATGTGGACTGTCACGTTTCCATGTTTTGATTTGGAGGAGCTTTTTTCTTTTGTTTGCTTTGTGGGTGTGCGTCTGGTTTTTATTTGTTTCTTCTGTTGTAGAAAAATTGAAAATATGTTGGGAAAAAAGTTTAGAGTGAGTGTAATGAGAAAAAGCTCATTTTAACTATACTGACTTGACTTGAACCAATATGCAAACACAAATGCAGTTCAATACTCTGCAACATAGCAATATTGTATCAATGCTGCATGTCTATTAAATCTAACTTACAGGCGTTATTTGGGCTGTTTTTGATAAAAGCGGAGAACTTTGCAAAGATGTCCGCTCCCACATCAAATGACTCTTTGTTTACCGGGCTGAGATGAGGATACCTGCAAATCGAGAGCAGAAAAGAGCGCATCGGTTCAGTGAACCGTCATCAACATCATAAGATGTTTATGTAATGATTAAGCGTGACGGTACCTGGGAGGGGCCAGCGTTTGTTCGAGAAACTCTTCAATTTTGATGAAGTCTGTTTTGAGGGTGCCGTTGTAGAGGAGGAAAGGAGGGTTAGTCCCAGGGGCCAGGTCTTTGAGCTCAGCTGGCTTCCTGGAGATGACACAGATTGATGAACAAAGGAGAGGAGAGAATTTGAGTTCTCTTAAGCATGCCAAAATAGTAGTTTATCAAGACTGTCAGAATCAAATATTGTACTCTAAATTAATGAGTCAACACTGGCTATTAGTTTAGTTATGAAAATACACAGTGATGGGAGGGGCTGCCTTTTTAAAGGCCTGTTTTGTGTGTGCTCTGAATCACTTAATTATCTGTATTATTAAGTTTCCAAACCATGTTTGCTTGGCACGTAGTGGCCCTGAGAAATTCATGCAATAAAGCCTCAATTAAAGAAGGTGATTGTTTGAAAGTGACACAGAGGTCTTTGTATGCTCCTGCCTCAAACTTCTACAGAACGGAGCGAATAAAACGTCAATAGGCGTTCAATTGGGTTAGATTACTGACATACACACACACACACACACACACAAAGGTTCTCAATTTCTCCCTCGCTTTCCGCATAATTGAGTTTTGTGTGAAAGTCCCCACGACCAGATGCTCAGGAAGTGTTTTTTTCCACTGGAGCAGTGCTTACTTCCTCATATCAACAGTGGTCACTGTAAACTTCACTCCTTTGAGCCACAGCACCATGAAGAGCCTCTGACAGAAAGGGCAGTTCCCCACGTTTTCACCGTCATGTCCAGCCTGAAAAATACAAGAAATAAATATCCCATGAGTCCAAAATGTTCTGTTTCACTTTTTCTCTATGATCTCATCTGCAGATTAATAAAGTTATTTTGGAGCTGAGAAGGTGCGTCTGGGATACACACAGTCGATTTCCTATGTGGAGGAGGGGAAACCCTGGCATTGTGTTGTAGCGGAAAAACAACCGACACCAACGCAGAGAAGTTTAAAGGTCCACCACATATTGACCATATGTTAAATAACAGTGTGAAATGTCTGGAAATGATTTGCTTAAATGAGAAAATTGATGACACTCTCAAGTCTGTGTGGTAAACCTGAAGAAAGCTAGTTGGCGTAGCTTAGCTTATAATCACTGCTAGCTAGATGTGTATTCGCCTCTTCACACCGAATACAAAGCAACTGATATGAATTTGTGTTGTTAGACACAAATTAAGGCAAATCCACATTAACTTATGTGAACATTTAGGGAGCTCCTATCAGTCGAGATTCTCTAGATATCACTGACAATCTCAAATAGAGCACACACTCATTGCTACAGATTCTGTCAGCCTGAGGTTTAAATTGACTTCTCTTTTAAAAGAGAAAGAGAAAAAGGAGAGCGCTAAGAGAAAGTGAGAGAAATCAGATGACTTCTTGGTAAGTTTTGAAATACTGTAACTTGATTCCAGCTGTCGGTTGTGTTCGTCCTACTCATATTGGCTGTTTTGAGTGAATATTTGGGGGTTTTCAAAACCACTGCAGCAACTGGACTGACAGGAGTGATATGCACAGAGTTTTAAAGATGGATGTAGCCTTTGGGTCTGAACAAAGTTCTTTTTAAAGGCCACCAGGGAGCAATATATGTGGTTACAATAGCCTTCTCTGGGGACCTGTGTAAACACTCCTGATGAGCTTATGGGCTTTCAGGCTGTACTGGATAAAATGCTAAATTCATTCTAAGTGTCAGAAAGGAAGATTAAACTCACTGATCAGTGAGCGTGTGCCACGTTCAGTATCAAAGCGCCAAGATGCCGACTGCAAAGGAGTTCATCTCGTATCTTTAAAACAGGACTTCACAATCCAACATGTGACATCACGCTGCTTCCATCTTTATCCTGTCTATGGTAACACGTGGTAACTTCACTTCCAGAAAGATCAGCAGTCAGCTCTTTTTGTTTCCATTTGTTTGAATTTGTGCAAAAATTGCAAAAAATATCACTTGTAGCTTTAAGCAGGTTTATATTCTGGGCTCTTATCAAGTCTCATCAATGACAACATGCCATTTTAGACTTTGTTTACATTCTTCATTATATTAAGTAATGAGATATAACTCATAAGTGCTCTTTAGAGGTATTTTTCTGCTACTTTTTGGACAGTTATTACAGTCTTTATGCTAAGCTGACTGGATTATCTGCTGGCTCCAGCTCCACATGAGAGTGTTACTTAACTTTTCATCCAACATCTGGCAAGAAGCTGCACGTTTAAGTGGCTGAAATATGGCACGTCTACCACTCTATACTGCCTTATTTTGTTTTTGCTATTGAGCTGCCTTATTGTATATTTCAGAATACACAGTTTCTCTGCACTTGTGCCTCAACTAACTAAATCAGGAAAAAAAATCAGAAGAAAAAAAAGAAGTGAGAAAAA